CGCGGCGGCGACGACGACGACGACGACGACGACGACGATGTCTGGCTTTCGTTTTCCATTATCGCGTGATGCAACGAAAGCAAACAGGCAGCCTCTCGCTGCTCGGCCCGTCCCGTTTAAATATTTTTGTTAGACGTTTCCGAGTTACTTGGAAGCGGCCGTTTCCACGTTCCACGTTCGCAGCATAAACATACTCGAGGGGCCGGGTGATGCTTTTGCGCGGAGAGCACGTGACGAGTACAAATATATTTGCCGCGTATCAAACGACGCGAACCGACGTTCCGCTCCCTTTGAAATCAACGTTCGCAGAGAGACAGAGACAGAGACAGAGGCAGACATACAGAGAGAGAGAGAGAGAGAGAGAAGCTCGCGCACCACTTTACCGGATACTCCTGCCCCTCTCCCTTTAATCGTTGAAACAGAGGGAAATTCGGGTAATTTTGTATAATCGAGTTGGTAACGTGACTGGAAAGGGAAGAGACGCGAGAAAGAGATCGGACGTGCATTTCCACGAGTTAAATTTTCCCGATTCACTGTTATGGAACGGGGTCGACGATCAAAGTGTGCCCCTTCTTCTTATTCGAGATTTTCCGTGTTGTGTTCTCGAGGCTTGTTTGTTTTTGTAATTAGATCCCACGCGTCGTTTAATCTTATCGAAAAATCGTATTAAGAGAAACGATCCATCGTGTGTTCATTAGCTTCGAATATGTATATATATATATATATATATATTTAAATACTCTTCTGGTATGGAGATTATTCGTTGTTCCCTCGACGACGAAGTAAAAGTAAGATTGATTAATCGATGACAGTTTAACAGGAAATGAAATAATAGATCGATTGTTTTGCAGGGTACCCCTGCCGTACGGCCACGCGTCTTCGATGATCCCAATGAGGAGGCAAAGCATTCGTTGCCATTTCGTGAAAGGGGTCGACTGGTGCAGCTGGAAATTGATCGCTATGATACTGCTTATGGTCTCGCTGTGCATAACGGCGGCCCTAGCCTACGTCGTGGGTAAGTCGTGGCCTCCTCTAATCTTGTATTCGACGCGCGTTTATCTAGGATAGGAAACAAAATGTTCCCCTGTCATTCCATCCCGGTAATATAATTCGTATTCACTTTGTATGGGTGATAATTTTAAATAATTTTAATCGATGGTTCATTCAAATTCACTCGATGAATTTTTTTTTTTTTTTTTTAAAAAAAGTGCCAAAGGTTGAATTATTTGGTGGAAATTGTTTGTACTATTATTTATGAATTGCGTGTTGCGAAAAGAAATGTTAAGTTATTTAAAAAAAAAAAAAGGCTTTCAACGCGTTTCAATTATATTATAACGCGGAATTATTGATAGAATTTCGAAAAATTGATACCCGTCGCAAGCGGGGACAATATCGGTTTTTAAATTATAAAATATTACGCGCGAAATATTATTATTTCTGTCGGATTATGTCATATACTTGCATCGCTTTTTCAAAAAAAAAAAAAAAATAATAACACATTGCGTACGGGTCACGAGATATCTCGTTTTTTTTCGACTCGAGGAATTGAAAACACTCGAAGCAATAATAGGAGAAGAAATAAAAAACTGTAAAATCTATTCGTCCAATGGAAAAAGAAACATTATTCGAGTTTGTAAAGTAAATAACAATTGATCGATTTAATTTTATTTATATAATAAATAATAGTTAAAGATTAAAAGCCTAAGAATTAAAAAGTACATATATATTTTTTCTAAAAATATTCTATAATTATTCTATAAATGCATATAGAAAAACTTCACAAATATAGAAAAAAAAATATTTGATTAAACTATAAAATCCCTCGTATCCTCTCGTTTCAGTCTCGAGCATAGTGAACCGATCCTACCAGGGCACGAAAGCGTGCACGGTCCTGGTTAAAGATTAAAAGCCTATAATATATAAGAAATATTTTATAATTGTGAATTAAAAAGTACATGTATATTTTTTCTAAAAATATTCTATAATTATTCTATAAATGCATATAGAAAAGCTTCACGAATATAGAAAAAAAAATATTCAAAAATTTGATTAAATATAAAAACTATAAAACCACCCCGTTTCCTTTCAGTCTCGAGCATAGTGAACCGATCCTACCAGGGTACGAAAGCGTGCGCGGTACTGGTTAAAGATTAAAAGCCTATAATAAATACTATAAGAAATATTTTATAATTGTGAATTAAAAAGTACATGTATATTTTTTCTAAAAATATTCTATAATTATTCTATAAATGCATATAGAAAAGCTTCACGAATATAGAAAAAAAAAATATTCAAAAATTTGATTAAATATAAAAACTATAAAACCCCCCGTTTCCTTTCAGTCTCGAGCATAGTGAACCGATCCTACCAGGGCACGAAAGCGTGCGCGGTACTGGTTAGCGAGAGCACGGACACGAAAGCGTTGTCCTCGGACGGGAACAAGACCTCTTCGTCGGCGAGCGCTTCGTCCTCGCAGTCGAGCGGTCGAACACGGCAACAGGCATCCTCTGGAGGTAGTATGAAAGCATCGGCTAGCATGTTAGAGCACGCCTACCGTAAGCGTAGGGACACGTAT